CAGCTATGTGGGTGCTGTAATTCGACCAAGGCCGCTTCCCACGAACGAGTTGTTCCACACAAGGATAAGAAAGGTATATCTTCTATCGACGTATTTTCTAAGTATACACGAGTTGTTCCACTCAAGGATAAGAAAGGTGTATCTTCTATCGACGTATTTTCTAAGTATGCACGAGTTGTTCCACACAAGGATAAGAAAGGTGTATCTTCTATCGACGTATTTTCTAAGTATGCACGATTTGTTCCACTCAAGGATAAGAAAGGTGTATCTTTCAAACGGATCTTTAAACTTCAAACCGATTCTGGAACAGAGTTTACTAATCGTATCTTACAAAGATATCTCAAGGAACCAGATGTTCACTTCTTTATTACACATAACGAAACAAAAACATCTATAGTAGAAAGATTTAATCACACTCTTAAAACTAGAATGTGGCGCTACTTTACTCATCGTGGAGTACATCACTGTATTGAAGCATTTGTTCAGTGCCATAATCAATTGTATCATCGCGGCATTAAAATGAGATCAATATACGTTAATCACTCTAATCAGTCTGTGGTTTATAAAAAAATTACAGCTCAAATTAGGCGATCAAGTATGTATTAGTAAAGTGAAGCATCAATTTAAGAAAGGCTATATGCCTGAATGGATAGACGAGATATTTACGATTTACGAGAGAAGAGAGAGAGAGATCCACCAGTGTATAAACTGTAAGTCTGTATAAGAAATATTATGTGAACGAGGAAGGGGCAAAAACAATCATTATTCTGTAAAATGGAAAGGATACCCTGATAAGTTGAATAGCTGGATCACTCAATCAGATCTGAATCTCCTGCCATCATAAAGTGATAGGTATAACTCTATTTTTCATTATTCAAAATAGATCAGTTGTATGTGACGTTACCTAGTAACAATCCTATGAATTATCTTGCTAATTATAATCTGACAAACTATATCACTCATCTTGCCAAATCTATCAAACTTGAAGGTTCGTGGGAAGTGGCCTTGGTCGAATTACAGCACCCACATAGCTGACAAACTATATCACTCATCTTGCCAAATCTATCAAACTTGAAGGTTGCATACTTAGAAAATACGT